CGACCAGTGTAGACTATGATGGATTGAGATTGCTACCTAGAAATGGCCCAGAAGATGTAGAGTAAAGCATGGCTGTGAGAAATGATAAAACCATATTCACTGCAATGTGCGAACATGTGGAGAAATTAGACTGCATCAGTGGGTGTTCTAAGGTAAAGGGTCTAACTGTAAATGTTAGCTGTGCTGTGCGTTCCTCTGGTGTCGATGATTAAATCTGTATTAAGGACAACAGCGCCCAGAGGTGGGCACACCTAGGGTAAAGGGCTGTGACGGGAAGGAAGAAGACAGGTCCTGAGAGAGGAGTAGGAGTCAGACCTCTGATGGCTTACATTTCACTGCCCTCAGGCATTTGTCTCTGTCTGGTGCAGAAGCGTTCTCCTTACCATCTGGTGAGCTTCACAACAAAGCACACAAACCACGCAAAACAGGTGAAACCATTCTTTCTACCAACAGGTCCATTTCTTATCCATTGACATAGCCCAGCTAGCCAACATGCTCAGTAGCCAATAGAAAACAGACCAACAACTGCCCCCCCACACCCGCCGCAAGGGTTCTTTTCTCACATTCTCCCATTAGGCCAGTTTTCCCCATCCCACAACTGTGTGACTAATTTTTCATCTTGCTATGTAGGAATCTCACATTTCCTTTTGCAGATATTTTTCTTAGCAGTTCCAGCTCGATGTCACAAAAACCTGAGACAATTTGGAGCACTCTCAGTGAAGCTGTCATCATTTCTGGTAACTTCTTCTGTATTATCTTACACTGTGACTGTCACTGCAGAAGTCAGTGATTGTTCCTGAGCGGACCAAGCGCTCTGCCAAGGGTTGTTCCTCCTCTTACCTTTAGAGCAGGCCTCCACTGTGGGCTCATTACCTGCCAAAGATCACTTAGATAACCAGCGGTGGGGACAGGACTCTGGCCCAGGTGTGTCTGGTGCTGAGCCCTCACTCCCAGGCCCTCCCGGTGCCATTTCTGAGCCTTTCTTCCAGCCTCATCTGAAGTACTACAGACCCCAGACTAAGGACAGATGGAGGAGACAACTCCCTCTGGAGCTCCTTCCCACTGAGCAGGAAACCTCTGAGTCATCCTCTTCAGATACTGTGATCCAGCTAATTGCAACTCACTTAGAAAAATAACTACCACCCAACTTTCACTGTTTTATTCGCAGGAATTTCACAAAAGACTATTCAATGCTTTGCAGAATATCTGCATTTCTAGACACACACACACACACACACACACACACACACACACACACACACTGGGGACTGAATCCAGGACCTTTAGCCTTCTCACATCCCCAGCCCTTGTTTTACTTTTTATTTGAGGCAGGATCTCACTAAGTTGCCCAGGCTGGCCTTGAATTTGCAATCCTCCTGCCTCAGCCTCCCAACTAGTGGGGATTACACACATGTGCCATGGCATTCAGCTCTCTTTTTTAAAGTAGTTTCCTCATCTCCACTCTACATTATTCTCTCCCTCCCTCATCCAGTTGTTTCTCCACAGTATGGCCTGTTGTGGACCTGCTCCTCTTCCATGGAGGTGTTCCAATTTCAGCTCCAGGGTGCCCAAGGGAAACCTGTAATTTCAGGAAACCCGTAAGTGTGCTTCACATTCTCTGAATGCTGTCTACATGTGCGCCTGGTTCTGAAAAGCGTCCACAGATTTCTATAAGATCGTCAAAAGGGAACTTTGATTTGAAGGCCTGTAAGTCATTTAAACAAAGATGAAATTTCCCAAATATTTATACACAAGTCTTGACCTAAGCCCTAGCCAGCCAAGGTCCACCACTTCCACGTCTCAGCCCTCGCTACCCACCCCCCCACACAGCAGCTTCCTGAGGTTTCTCACCAGGCTTCTGTCCACTCCGCCCACCAGGCATCCACGCTGCGTCTCTTCCTTCTCCCTCCCCGAGATCCTGCGCGTGCTCAGACCCTAACTCCAGCAGCATCTTCTCAGCAAGACCTTCCGTGACCATCCAAGCAGCAGCACGAGCTCCCACAGAGCTGGGCATAACCGTCATCCTCTAAAGCACTTACTATGCTTTGCTCCCTCGCCAAACCCCACATTCCAAGCACCTGGCAACTGTGACCCAGTCCTCCCCACTCTGGCCTCGCTAGAGAAGCCTTTCTCCTCTGTACCCTGGTTCTTAATAAGTATTTGGACCAAGAGGTGAGCCAGGAAACCAAGCAGCACTGTTATAACATCAGGGCCTCTGTCTTTTGCGCCTTCGTTGTTTATAGATGTGCATAAACTTCACCTCCCTGGGACCCCGCAGTGCACGACTCAGTGTGTATTTACCAAAGAGCAACGCATTCTGGGCTGTGTTTTAGGAGTGTGGAGTCCCATTAAGGGAGCTCAGCCATAGTCCTCCCCTTAAAAAGGTCACAGTCCCATAGGCCACAGAGACTTAGACCTGCACATTCCAAAGCTTCTGTCATTATTTGCTTGCTCTCAAACAGCACCACGATTGCCTGAGAAGGAGGCAAAACAGTGTCTTCCTCAGAGCCTAAGTTTTGAATTCGTACAAATTTCAGTACCAATGGTAAATTTCTGAATATCAGTTGTACAAGTCTGAGCAAGGTATAAGCCCTTTGGGTCTGGGTTTCCGCATTAGCCAATTTCTATTACTGTGACAAAATAACTGAGACAATCAACTTAAAAAGAAGAAAGGTTTGTTTTGGCTCACAGTTTCAAAAGTTGCATTCTCAGTCACTTGGTCCTACTTCTTTGCACCTGTGGGGACACTGTGCTGCAACATGCATCCAAGGAGGCCTCCCCTCATAGTGGCTGGAAAGATGGGGGGGCAGCCAAGGTCCCAATATCCCCTGCAAGGTCACGCCCTTAGTGACCTTACTGCCTGCCATAGGCTCCCGCTCCTTAAGGTTCTGTCACCTCCCTACTGTGTCACACGCTGGCAACCAGGCCTTTCACTCACATACGGGCCTTGGGTACATACCAGATCCAAACACAGCAGCTATGTCAACTGTCAAGTGAAGGTAACGCTTACTGCAAACACAAGGCACACAGTGAACATGCAGCGAATAGTGATGATACAGGGATGCTGAGAGCAGATGAGGGTGGTGGTGGTGGTGATGGTGATGGTGGTGGTGAGGATGGTGGTGGTGATAATAGTGGTGATGAGGGTGGTGATAAGGGTGGTGAGGGTGATGATGGTGGTAGTGGTGGTGGTGGTGGTGATGGTGAGGATGGTGGTGGTGATAATAGTGGTGATGGTGGTGGTGAGGATGGTGGTGGTGATAATGGTGATGGTGGTGATGATGGTGGTGAGGGTGATGATGGTGGTGGTGATAATAGTAGTGATGATGATGGTGAGGGTGATAATGGTGGTGGTAGTCATGATGGTGGTGATGGTAATGATAATAATGGTGATGAAAGGGGAGGTGGTGGTGATGGTGAGGATGGTGGTGGTGATAATAGTGGTGATGATGGTGGTGATGGTGATGGTGGTGGTGATGGTGGTGATGGTGGTGATGGTGGTGGTGATGGTGGTGGTGGTGATGGTGATGGTGATGGTGATGGTGAGGATGGTGGTGGTGATAATAGTGGTGATGAGGGTGGTGATGATGGTGGTGATGAGGATCGTGGTGGTGCTGGTGATGGTGAGAATGGTGGTAACAATAAGGGCATGAACTGTAACTCCTGAGGACAAGGACTGTGGAATCTTGGAATCTTCAGCATCTGCAATAGTGCCTGGTACACAATCAATAGAACCAAAGGTTTGCTGAACTAATAATCAGTTACCAAGTCCAAGTTACTGAGAGCCAAGAGCAGACAGAGAAGGAAGGGATTGACATGAACCCGAATGATCAGAAAGTGCTTGACTCAGGAGGGAGGCGTCTAAAGCAAGGGTTTTTTCAGAGCCAAAGGAACAGAAGTTACTGAGGGAAAAAAATCAGAACACTGAAGGAAGTAGCCTGCCAGCATGAGGAAGAAGCAATAGCCTTTGTTCCACCAGGCAGGGGGCAGCGAGCGTGGACGTGAGTGCTTCTACTTCTCTCTTCAGACCATGCATGGAGATGAACTCCCAACCGCAGTCCTCAGCTTGATCTTTGTGGTCACCCCACGTCGCATCAAGACAATAGAATAGCTGCTGCATATCAACAAACTAGAAGGCATAATGGTAAAAAAAAAAAGTATGAGCTTCGTAGGGAGGCAAAACTGGGCTTGAATTTTTGTTTCATTGCCTAAGTAACTATATCATCTTGAGCAAGTCACTTTCCTCTTTGAACTTTAGCTTTCTCTTCTGTAAAATGAGACTCATCATCCCTACCCCACAGGGCTGAGGTGGAGACTGAAGGAACTAATTCATGTAAGGCAGCAAATCCAGTACCTGGGGCATAGCAGGTGTTCGGTAAACATGCTGACATTATGATAGTGTAAACTGGTGCATTTCTGGGCTCGGGCTACATCAGTGTGTCCATTTCAGTTACATGTGCTTGTAGGCATGTGAATTTAAGTTTATTGGTTCTAAGGGTGATTGAGTTTGTGACATGGAAATAATCCAGAAAAGGAAAATATGTAGGACCATGTGTAACATAATCCTGCTTCGCTCATTGTCCTATCCCAATGAAGAAAAGCATAAAAGGTTTTGCATTTGAGCAACTGATTAGGATGAAATCTTAAGTAAGACACAGGGAGCTAATAATTTTGTTTATTAACCACCTGCTGCACAAACTGTCATGCAAATCCTGCCTGATGCTTTATGCAAAACACTTGAAAACCTGTGACTTTGTCCTTCTGCTTGGATTTTCTGCTGTAGTGAGATACACCGTAGAATTAATTTCAAGTGTGTTTGTCTGTAAACCAGCCAAATATTTCCTCTTAAATACTTGAGCTCTATGTTGAACAGACATACAGAGTGACGGTTACGAGCACGTTTGTTTTTGGTGTTAGATTTTACACCTTAATCCTTGAATGACCTTTGAGCTCCACCCATACTATGCCCATAATAAAACAAAACTTTCCATTTCCTGCAGGTTCATCCCGGGGACCCAGCCCTCTAACCATGGGGGCCCAGGACACCCTCCCAGTAGCGGCAGCTTTCACAGAAACCGTCAATGCCTACTTCAAAGCGGCGGACCCTAGCAAGTAAGCCCCAGACCCCGGTCATTGTGTGCTCTGTGCTCCCCCTGGCTAGTGGGGACACCCCACAACACCATGATTATATTCCTTAAGTCAAAGCCAAAAAGATTTCCATTTATGATACAAGGTGACATGCCTAGAACAGAGGATAAAATTTAATTGGTAATATTAAGTCAGTGCTTCTAAACAGATACCAAAATACTCAGTAACATTGTACTAGCTAGAAAGCTCTCTGTTATGGTTGTACATAGCAGAAAACCTCTATCTAATCTTATAGCAATCAGGAAGCTTATTGTCTCCCAAAAGTAATATCCAGATCATGGCTTTTATTGCCTTCATCTTCTCAGGATGAAAATCACCCACATATGAATTGAAACCATGCATCACTAAAGTGATAACAGGAAAGAAAAAATACCTCCCTGAGACATCTAGAACACGAGGGAGCAAGCCGTGTGTTACCTTGCCCAAGAAGGGCAGAATGGCCCCAAATAAACTAAAACCACAGCAAAGTCAAAACCCACCGCTCCCTATTTTTGGGAGCCTGATTTCACTTAGTCACGACCCACTGACTTGCCCTAAATGCATGTGGTATAATTTAGTATTTTACCTCTCAGTAAGAAATTCTACGCATGGAACTCAGAAAGTTCCTCCAAACTGCACCACACAGCTTATGTGTTTATCCGCTGAGACTAGAGTGTCGGTCACTTTAACAAAGGAGTGTGATGTGTATTGGTCTACCGGGCACGTCCTGTGTTGTAGCAAAAAATACTTTTTACAAAGGAATTTGGGTTAAATAGTAGTATTTTATATAAACAATAGTATACATTTTATATGTTGTGAGCTAATTCCTCTTCACTCAGAGTGGCCTGTGAAACCCAGGTATGTCTAAATACGGGCCACGGGTGGTTGAACACGGGATATGAGGTCAAATTTGCTGCCAAATGTGTCATTACTATGATTCCATAACTGAGTGTGATTGACAGTGGACTTACAATCTTCTTACTTATGAGGAATGACCAAAAGACGCAGTGGCTATTTAAATTAATTTTTTAAAATGTATGACAGTAAAAGACCCATCGCCATGAAACCCCCTCAAAGCAGTCTCCCTTGCTTCACACCCGTCCCACCCTCCCGGCCACGTCCTGCAGCAGCTCCGGAGTCCTCTCTCCTGAGGGTCTTTAGCTGCGCTGTCCTGGCCGCCACTCTGTACTGAACTGACTCAAAATGTTTCCCTTTCCTGGTCACTTGGACTTTGGGGAGGAGCCAGAGGTCGCACAGCGCCAGATCCGGTGAATAAGGTGGAGGAGGACACAGCGTCTGTTTTTACGAGCTGCCTTTCTGCTGGACGGAGCTCGGCAGTCACATTCAGATTTTTTACCACACCTCATTTCTCTACCCACAATAAGAAGAACCAGTGAAAAAATTACATGGATATGCCAATTATGTTAATTTTTTTGAATCAGTGATAATTATGTATAATGAGAACTTGGATTGCCGCATATATTTCTGTAGCAATTTGTATGACGAAGTGTAAATCCTCTTTACAGTTCAGAGACACTTATGTATTGAAGTCTGAGTCTAAAAGTAGAATCGTGAAACTCCAGTATCAACAGTAAGTCTGCTTTAGGAGCTGCGGGCCCCAGCAGTCTTCCTAACCGTTGCGTCTCTTTCTGCACCGTCTACGTTTTGGTCCAGGCCCAGAGAATTACAGAGAAACAAGCGCAGTGCACTCTGTTTTCTCCCTTGTCCTTGTTCCTTCTTTTCGAACTCCCCAGACCACGTGCCATCCTCGGGCCCATGGAAACCAGAAGCCACCTTGTACAGACGCACACATGTGTGCATCAAGAGCTTGGGCTGCGTCTGCACTTGCTGCCGGCATGTGGCTTCTGCAGGGTCCTCCTTACATGAAGAACCTGCGTCCAGTTCTGTCGCACAGTTCCAAGAACTACTGAGCACCGGCGACCGGCTTTTCCACAAGCTCGGCCTGGCCAGAACTGAGAAAATCAGACAGAAACGTGCTTTCAGCGCATGAGGAACAGCTGGGGTGTGGGCACTTGTGCACTGGGGACCCCACAGCGATGACTTCTTCATGCCTGCCTCCTCGCCGGCTCTCTATCACCCCCCGACCATTCCAGGGACCTCAGTGGTCCTCCGTTCACTCACTCTAGCCTACAGCACCGCCGGGCTTTCATTGGTTAGTGGAGGTTTCTGCCGCATGCTGGAACAACTCTTCCCTTCGCACACTTCCTGGTTCCTTCATGTCCTTAGATTTACAAAGAGAACTTCCCAGCAGGGCATGGTGGGGCACGCCTGCAATCCCAGCATCTGGGAGGCTGAGGCAGGAGGATGGCAAGCGTGAGCCGGGCCTGGCGAATGTAAAGACTTAGTGGAATGCTGCCTCAAAACAAAACAAATAAATAAATAAAAATATAAAAGAGGCTGGGGTTTAGTGTGAAGGCTCTGGGTTCAATCCTTAATACCAAAAAAAACCTTCCTCCCCCCCTATAAATCACTGTTTCTATCTTAATAACCTTCTCTCTAAATCCCACATGCTTTTTCCTATTATCTGTTATCTGTCTCTTCCTGCCAGAATGTAAGCTCTGGAGAGCTAGATTTTTTTATATTATTTATTTATTTTGGGTTTTTTCTCTTTTTGAGACAATGTCTTGCTATATAATCCAGGCTGGCCTTGAACTTACTACCTATCCCAGGCTGTACTGAAACTTGCAGCAATCTTCCTGCCTCAGCCTTCTAAGTCCTGGGATTATAGACATGCATAACCACACCCAGCACAGAGAGCCAGATTTTGACTACTTTGGCCACTGATGTAACCTCAGCACCTCAAGCAGGCTCGCCATGGAGAGCTCAAAGTGCATTTGCTGACCAAGGGTGGCTGAGTTTCACAGAAGGGCTGCTGTGTGCCTGCCATTGTGCTAAGCAAGGGGATGAAGGCAGTTGGTATGGAAAATGAGACTTGTGCATAAATATAATGCAAAGTCCGCCAAAGAAGAAGTGTAAATATTGTGCCAGCTGAGATCAGAATCCTGAATAACACTGCATATTTAATCCCAAGAAGGGACTGAGCAACCGCTATGTCCCATCTCCCTATATAAGCACAATATAATCCAGGTTTTCATCCTGGTTCAGCCTCCCCAGCACACTGTGACAGTGCGGTGTCCTCCGTGAGTGACCCTGGCATTCCAGGGATGTAGCTCTGAGCCTACTTAAGGGTGGTGCGCTCCCTTCCCGTCCAAATTAACTGAGCTTCGTGCCGTGGAAACGCCGGCGTTTGTGTTGCTACGCGTGCCCTAGCTGCGGTGGATCTGAACCCTGGGACAAGGGAGACCTAGTGTGTTTCACTGAAATTTTGAGATCTGATACTGATAGGAACAATTGTTAAGGTCAGAAAAATTCCCTTTGGTAGGTGTAGAAAATATGACGTTTTACATAGCAAATGCCAGATCCACATCAGCACAGGGTAGAGTTATAAGTCAAGAAATTCTGACAGCGGAAAAGCGGAAATATAACAGAACCGTAGTGCCTCTTACACCAGACCCTACGGATTACACCTTCCACCCAATTCTGCAAGCTTCTCCGAGACAGGAGCTGTTGTGCTCATTTGTAAAAATTACTCCCTGCTCAAAAAAGTAGTAGTAACTTGCAGTGAATCAGTGCTTGCCGACTTCGTCAATGTCGCCCCTTCCCTCACTAATTTGCTTTCAAAAGAGAAACCTTCACCCCCTCCAGGACGGCTCCCAGGTGCCCCGCGCACTCCGGGATGGAGAGAGCCGGCTCCCTGCGCCGTGAACGCGCTCCGGCCTCTGCGGCTGACAGTCACCGCCCGGCACAGCTGCGGCACTGATGCGCGGGCGCTGTGGTCGCCGCTTCTCCGGGGTGCCTGGCGGTGCCCTGCAGGCCTGCGCCCAGACAGCCTTCAAGGGCAGGCTCAACTCACGCGTCAGCCCCGGCTCAGACCCAGTCCGCGAAAATCAGGCGGAGTTAAGGGGGTTTATAAGGCCCAGAGGAAAACGGCAGTTTGCACTCAAACTGGGACAGGAGCGATGTTCTCTAGGGGAGGGGGAGGTGCAAACTCCCAGAAGCCAAAATTCCCATTCAGAGCAGCACAGAGTGTAGGCATCACGTCAGAGAAAGGGAGACACATGGAGCGATTTTAGGAAACTCGACTCCTCCTGCCTCAGCCTACCCCAGGTCCAGCCTCATTCAAAAAGGCCCCAGCGAGCCGTCCTTCACATGAGCTCTTTTGACCAGGGACCACCTCAGCCATGAATCACAGAGGGACACAGCACGCGAGGGAGGAGCAAGTCCCCTGCTCTCCGCTGGGAGCGGGTTTTCATTTGTCAGCCGCCTGCTCCCGGGAAGCACATTCCTCCGGTGAGAGCTGGAGCAGACCCCAGTAACCGAGGGGAATGGGAGGTGTTAAAGATGCGCCTCATTTTAAACACTGCTGCCCCTTGGGATCGGGGACATTATCCGCGCACACACGTGGCCCCACCCCCATGGACCCCAGAGCTGGGTGCCCAAGTCCTTCGTTAAAACGGCACAGTCTCTGCGTAGAACCTTTGCGCACACCCGCATAGACTTCAAATCGTCACACTGCCCACGTCCGCCCTCCGGGCAGCAGAAATCGCTGCTGCACTGTATTGTTTGGGAAGTGAAGACAAGTCCGAGAACTCCGTCCCCGTCCCACAGACACGACTTTCGTCCAGACACCTTCGGCTGAATCTGAGCACGCTCCCAGCTGACTGTTCGCCAGGAGAGCTAAGCCCATGACATGCCTCTTCCAATGTATTCATTCCTACCTCCAGCAGCTCAAAAATGGGCAAAATGCTCAAAACGGTGATTTGTAGAGGTCTGGCCCTCAGGTGAAAGAAAGTGAAGTCCAGGCGGCTGGGAGGGGTCCCCCGGAGGCTCTGCGCTCAGAGCTGGCTGCGGGTGCTCGGGTGCCCTTGGGTGCCACGCGGCGGAGCAGGCAAACCCACCTGCTG